CCTGTCCAGGTAGTTCGTAAATGCAAAAAGTGAAAACCTCACTCTCCAAAGAGTAAAAAAGAGTTACCCTTATATGGCTTCTCCTTTGGAGGATTTTCACCCTTTTTTTAGTGGTTTTTAGATTTTATTCATTTTGGGTGGTTTTGTAAGGGACTCATTGATTTAGAGATTGAGTTTTTCACTCTTTTGCATTTAGAAATATTAAATAATTCAAATATCGCGCAACATAATTGGGAAATACGTTAGACCAAGCAGTGGTTCTTTAAAAACGGTTACTTTGACAAGGTCTTTTGTTATATTTTGGTCCTTCTTTGTTAGTCTGACATGACCATATCGATATTTTTAGCCTTCAACGTTTAGAATCAGGGCGGCAGTGTGCATGAAAACGTCCAACAGACACCGTCTTTGATGTCCACGTGTTAGCTAGCGTTGTGATCAAGCGATATTTTTGGAAATAAGCCATAATTGCTGTTTGCACTGAGATGTTGACACAGATGCTAGATTCCCTTCTGATACCGTGGTTTAAACCAAATATCATATAGCGCCGCAGGCTCAATTGAGCAAGCATTACGCCTGCGCAGTTCACGGTAATGCAGAGGCGCAGGCGCACGGTGTAGGTGCCTGCCGCAGCGCCTGCGCTTGTGCATTAATGTGCATTGCGCAGGCGTATCTTTTGCTCAAATGGCGCTTCTGCGATTACAACGTTTTACGTGTATTCACGGTGAAGTTCTCCATCTTGCGCCGCTACGTTTCTTCACACCAGTATCCTGGACAACACCGGTCGAGCGGAAAAATCATAACTTCGCCACCCGACCTGTGCTTATCGCATCCAGCATTGTTCACGCCTTAAGTTTGGAATAGGCCTATCGACGAACTCAGACTTTGATTCATTCATCGTTACCGTGCACTTGTTCTAGCGCGGACATGGCAATGTATACGCCAAACTCTGAGTTCATAATTTAATGCATCAAAGCTTTTTACTAAAGGTGTAAAAATCATTAGCGTTTTATTTCGTATTTTGCACATAATTTATTTGCATTTCGAATTAAAGTGTGCTGTGCAGAAATCGTATGTACATTTATTATTTTTCACTTTATTAAGCATTTCCATATGTAAATAAAATGACAGTGACTACATATACCTATAGAGTATCTACAGAATCAATTGTTATGCAGATACGCTATATTGCTATGAATTTTTACGGCTTGTTGTAAAAATGTTTTGTATTTCATTTTAGTAAACTCTCACTTTCCAGAGGCCGAAAGTGGTTAGATATACAATACATTAAAAATAAGAGAATATCACACGCACTAAAAGCACCTTCAAGACATTATTAACTTTTAAATTACATAACTATACTATACAATACAGTAAGTTTAGCCAAGTACTGCTTCCAATAAAAACCAGCTGATGAAATGGTGGGTGGTAATTCAAATGTAGCCGTTCGAGGCGTTCGCTCAGTATACAGAGACTGTCATGAAAACACTGATGTCTTCGTGATAGATGAACGGACAGTGTTGATTTTGGGGTGACAAGCAGTTCAGGCTATATCTGGGCCCAAAATGGACGTTCTTTGCAGCGACGCATGCAATAGTTCTCGTTGCGTGTGAACACTGGCGCCGTCGATAAACTTGAGGGCGTCTTGTGTCCATATGAAGCCAGTTGTAGCCAGTTGAGAATAATGGCTTGTGTATGCAGACGTGTTTCCTAATAGGCTTATTACTCATGAATCGGATCTGTGCCCAAAATGTAGACACATGCCATTTACGAAAGTAAAATCTGCTCTTGCTGCATTAAAAAATGGGACAGGATTTAAGTTGAACATTTAGTGCGTCAAGTTTTAGAGAACAGCAAAAGAAGTATACAGACTCAGACTGCTTAAAATTGTTTTCAAAACTGGTTCTTGAACCGAAACCACTTGTCGAATGGTGCCAGTCCCGTTTGCATGCGGAATATTGCAGTATTGATTCCAAGCGAAGATAGCCGCGGCGATAGTGCTACAGAAACATTCCAGTTAGAAAGACTCGCCGGTTAGAGCAGTAACAAGTTGTTTTTTTTTCAGTCCCAATGCACATGCACACTACACAGTTAAAAGTGTTTTTCGTTATTTTGTTTCCCCCTTTAATCGCACTGAACAGTAACAGTTAAATCGACCTTTGTACAATTATGATGATATAATCAAAAAGTTTCAAAAGAAAATGTAAAAGTACAATGCCGGATACCAGACTTGAGCAGTCCTTGAGGGCGCTGTGAACATTAGCAACTGGGAAGAAGGGTACAGTCCACTAATTCAAGCCCCATTGAAAACAGTGTAAAAGCAGCACTGTTCAGGGCCAAATAACATGCACGCCAACATCCCTGAGATTTCTGAAACACATATGAAATTCTTGTCTGGTCACTAATCTTTCAATTTCTTTTGAATTTGTTGTGGGTTAACCAATTACATTTTTAGTTATTTCCACAAAACAAAATCACCCCCCAAAAAGTGATTTTTCTGAAGTCTGATTGCAGCCATTTTTCAAGTGGCAGCCCTCTACTTTCTCGGGCACTGACGACCATTTTTCAACTGTAGTTTTTAGCCATTCTGCTCTCGTATGAAAGCTCAAAGACCCAGGGAGTTGATTCTGGCAAGGGTTTACACAATCTCACCATTTTGGGGGCCAAACAATCTCCTTTTTCAAAAGATACTGTGAATGGCACTTTAATGCTAATGAGCTGGCCAGAAATCCTCACGTGAATTCGTGGTCTGCATTGAAATTGAATTGAAAATAGTGTAAAATCAACCAAGTTTGGAGCCCCATGGCAAGCAACTGAAGTCCCTGAGGCCTCTCAAACAAAAAACAATGTGTTGTTTGGTCCTTCAGATTTCATTTGATTTTCAATTTTTAGTAGGTTAACCAATTAATTTTTTAATTATCCGCCAAAAACAAACTCTCCCCCCCAAAAGTCAATGTTTCCAAGTCTTCTCAGCGGTCATTTTTCAAATGACATCCCTCACCTTCCCGGGGCTCCTCTGACAAATTTTCAATCACATTTTTGTCTGCTTTGCCCCCAGATGGGTGCCCCTGAATCTACATAGATCCCGGGCCATACTGGCACAATCCCACCATTTCTTGGCCCAAACAGACCCGCCAGGAGGAGAATTTTCCTTGAATTGGGCCACTGCACCCCTAGGCACAATAGTAGTCAGTAATGGGAAAGTATAACATGCAACAAGTTGTAACCACAAGAGGGCCTGAACACAGCAGTGCCAGTACAGTGTCACGAAATGAACTTTGAGGGTGCACCCAGCTCATTGATTTAAGCTTTACACCCAAAGTATTCTATGTAAGAGAGTCCTGAGAGCCACGGCATTGGGGAGTCGAAGAAACATGACACTGAACCTATGGTCCGGACTCAGGGCTTCCAATTCTGAGCAATTTGGGTGCAGTCGGGTCCGAAAGTGGCACTATTTAGGCGTTTTGCAGAGGGATGCATTTTCTAAAATGGCTACTTTTCCGGACAGTGAATTTTCCTTCATTTTAGGGGTGGTCCGCTTTGGGTAAGAATTTCTCAAAAAGTCATCTGCCAACCTACTGAAAATTGAAAGGAAAATGAAAGAGGACACATGAAACATCATTTTTCTGTGAAGTCTGGACACCTGTGAGAGTTGTATTTCTAAAACAATTTTGAAATATAAGGATTTTTCATTGATGTCCATGGAAATTTATTTTCAGGGGTGCGCCCTTAAAGGACACTTAAAGTTTCTTACCGAGCGAGGGCGCTTTGGCATAAATCGAAGCAAGCTTTTAATCCTTCGCTTGTCAGTAATCGACGCGAACACTTCGTCAATATTAACATAGGCCAGATACCAATGGATAGATGACTGTTTCATCTTGTCACCGTGTGTTTGCAAAGTTGCATTTACTCTACCAAAGTGTTTGTTTTTTTGTAACGCCATTAACGAGAAGGGTGTCCGCAAACAGAAAAGAAAATAGTCATCGAGAGCGTGCCGTCTGAGGACTCAAATTTATCACTGCGTTTGTTCTGCTTTCTGTTTGATCACCAAATGGTAAATGTGAATCACCTTTAACGTAACCTCACCAAGGCTAAATGGGTTTGCAGGTTCAATATCGACTCGTGCCAAAGTGTTCTGAGGGAGGGGGACGTAAAAAGGTATACTCTCACCGACTGCCAGGCGGTGGTCTGGAGTTGTTAAATACACACGATGCCCCCGCGATGATTTGTAAGTGGTGATGCCTCACTCAGAGGATCAGTGCTTAGCTTTTGATTTGTGTAGCTACGGGGACTGTCCAAAGTCACGCAGTAGAACTTGTGAGTTGTTGTTGGGGCGTATAGTTTAAATAAGCTGGTTTTCATGGAGGACGGCTAGTGAACAGTCAGTATTGATTTATCGCAGTGATGGGAGGGGGCTCCCTCCGGTCAAGGACCGGAAATTAGAGGCGGACGTTTTCGTGCTGTACTTGTGTGAATCCTGTCTACAAAATTTTGTTGCTGAGTAAATGGAAGGGGCCAGAACTGTCGAAGCTTTCATCCCCAACAACTTGTCTTTTTTTTTCAACTTTTTGGGGGCTGACGGGATTTTTTTTAATTACACCCCTGACCTTTTTTTCTTTTGACTCTTATCTTCCAACTTCAGAACACCGGCCTATCCCCTTGTTTTTTTTCTCGATGCGCCAGCAGTGGGAGGCAAATATCTCAACGTTTGGTTTTTTTTCTTTGCATGAACTAATAAAGAATCCTGATATCTTGATATTTTAGTACTGAAAAAAAGGACAAGAAAAGAATCCGACCGAGTAGAAAATTTAGATGTATTTGTTTCTTGTGGCACACTCGTCTTCATGCATCAGAGAATTTCCCTTGTAACAACGCTGGGACTTTTAATTGAAAATTCCTCTGTCGGTTAACGGATACTCTCAACTCCACTTACACAAACATATTTACCATCGTCGGGCTGTCTCATACAACGCCGTATTTGATATCAGAGACTCTGGGCTTGATTAAACACTACAATAATTGATGTGCAATCGATACGTATTTGCACTATGCTGTGTTTTGCCTTCTTGTGTTCGCGGTGACGTAGCAGGGTTTAAATTGTACCGAAAATATACTTGCTTGGGTGCCGGTTATCACGAGTGTGCTCCAGGCGGCGAGGTCGTGCTTGTTCTCGGGTCAACCCGGTCATTCATGTTACAGAGGCCCGCGGGGGAAAGACGTGCCGAACGAAAGTCGTGTTCCGATCGCAAGGCCAAGTGCAAGATGGAAACACGAAGCTACAGAGTAAACAGTGCTGCGCCTCGTGAGGACGAGTCATAACATTAACAAGATCGTTCGTGCACTGTGCTTGGAATTGGACAGAAGCTTCGCGCCGGGCACCGTGATTAAGGCAACAATACCAGGGATTTCTTCCGCCTAAGGACATTGTGGTGCTGAATGGAGGAGCAATTCATTTGAACAGCAGCGGGAAAAGCTGATTATGAACTTAATATTATATGCACAGGACCTACGCAACGTTGAAATATGTGCTTGCAGTGCAGTGCCATACAGGATGAGCAGCAATACCACAGCTCCAAGTAATGTAGATTATGACAGCGACCTGCGAGGACAGGGATGGAAGAGAAATGGCTGTCAGCATGGTATTTTATATAAGCTACGTGGACGTATCCGATGAGGGTGGCCTATCAAGCCCGCAGTGCTAGCAGAAATTTTTTTCTTCGGGTGTACTAGCAGCATGCAGGACAAATATGTCGCGATGCGTCAGCAAACACATCGTGCCCCTCACAGCTGGTGAGTTTTTCAGTCAAATAATCGACAGGCAGGCTAGGCCCAGCGTCAAAACAAATCGAGTGTCTGCATAAATCCTAAGGTCCTGATCAGCCTTGGAATGATTAACTAGCGCTCGATGTGATTCCATTAGTCTTCTGGAATTACCAGGATTATTGAAGCACTCCCGCAGCTGTTTTATCTAATAAGAGGAGACACGCGTAGCTGCTCGTAATCCAGTTCTTGTCCTCAGGAACTGGATGGCGAACTGCAAGGCGAAGTGCAAAGTTCATTTCGATCCACCGTGTTTGCTCAGAACTCGGAGATATTGAACCAGTTTGTAATTGTTATCGCTATGATAACAATTCAATTGATTTTTATTAGTTGCATTGATAAGCTGTTCATTAGCTAGTCTATACAAGTTATCTGCAGACCGGTTGATTGGTGTGAAATAGTGAACACGCTGAACCTGACATTCGGCATGTATTACAAAACCACGCCTGTGTTTCTCTCCAGCAAGGCGAACGAGAGGCTCGGCGAAAAAGAGTCGGAGGAAGCAAGTGCGAGAGGAGGGGTTGCCAAGGAAAAGAGGAACCCCGACCCGTTGCCTAGGATACGAGTGGAGGAATGTGGCCTCACTGTAGACATGAGGAAGAGGCGAGATGGACAGAGCAGACCAAGCAAGGACAGAGATCAGTTGGATGGTAAGACTTCAAAGACTACTTCACCGTTCAGAGCTGGTGCCAATAGTGAAAAAAACCAAGCCGAAGGGCCCACAGCTTGTCTCCGAGAGCGGCGGTTTGCGGAGGGGAAGGATGGCCCGAACGGGCAGACAGTGGTTTCGGAGAGGAGGTTCTCCACGGAGTTTGTGGATTCGCTTCGAATTGGCAAAGCTGACGGTCACGCTCTGACGCGGGGCCAAGCGCTCCCCGGCCCGATTGAGCCCCGGCCCGTCCCACGGATGCGCTACTCCAAAGGAGCGCCCCTGAGCCGCAGCATCGGTGACGCCGTCGACACTTTCCAGAGCCGGCGTGCCGTCAGCATAGGGGCTGTCTCCTCCAGGGAACGGGTCGTCATACGGCGCCTCGCCGCCAAGAGGTCCGAGACCGTGAGTGCCAGCCAAGACTTGATGTCCTTATCCACGGACCGCGGTCGACGGAGTAGCGAGCGACTCCAGCAGCGCACCTCGCTGAGGGACAGACGATGCCACAGCATGGAGGACACCCGCTCACGACTCGGAATGGTCAGCAGGAAATACAAACGCGGTGGATCAACTCACTGGGATGACTTTGACTTCCACCTCACCTACGTGAGCCCGCACGACATGGCCCGAGAACTGCGCTCCAGGTCTGGGGTTGACGACTTCGTCGGGGACATCTTGGATAAGACAAGGCGAAGCACACCCGGTGAAAGAGGGGGGTCCAGCGGAACGTCTGACGGCTCTAGCGTGGTGCACAGCGTGGACTGCCCAATGTGCCACCTGTATGAACCGTCCAGGTTCGGACACGTTTGCCCCCCAAACACACCTCTCAAACAACTCGATAGAAACGACGAGGTGCCATGACTATCGCGACATACTTCCTGCTGGCCTTAAAACTGAGTTGCCTGATGAAGTTGAAGGCACGAATGCCGAGGAAAACGTGTGCCAACTGTGTTGCATAAAACCTGATTATTTTTGTCATTTGAATGATGACAGATCAAAGTCTTCCATATTTATTTGTGACACGTTAACTCATAGAAATATCGTTGTCATCTGTAAATCAGTCAGATTTGTTTTAAAGCCAATCGAACATGTTAACAGCGCTTTCAGCGCATGCTCACAACGCAGAACTAATACAACACGTTTTCTGACGCTTCTGGTTTATGACCAGATTTTGGATTCAATTTTCTTGTACAAATGATCTAAAAGAGGCAGAGTGACATGAAATGTTGCAGTGGGGAGATATTCAGGACTGAATGACCTACAATTTACATAACCACTGTTACCGCTAGATTCATTCTAGTACGAGATTTCACTTCATCGACTGGAAAAATTTCCACTAGCATTCATCTCAAATCGCTCGTTACTTAAAATTGTAGGTTGTTTTTAATTCGATGCGCAGAAAAGGTTCAGTGTGCGGAAAGCGTCCTTTCTGTGCGTTGACCGTTGAAAACACGTGTACTGTTTTCACATCTGTGTTGTACAAGCAAGGCCTGTGGGATATATCCCTTGCAGAGGGATTTAGAAATATTGATAAAATCCTCGTTTAACGTAATGCCTTTTATAAACATGCACTTTGAAGAGAAACACTTTGTTCATTTTGTGTACATGGACATAACTACGTAGCATCAGTGAGTACGTTTTCAGGCATTCTGCCTATCGGGAGAGCCTCCCTTTAGTGTGTGAGATACTGACATTTCGCGTATTTTTCTCCCAGTCTTGCAGTGCTTTGCCCTTTAGCTCCTATGTACATGTACAAGTAAACGTTTCAGTAAATTATTTCTTCAACACTACCGTAAGTGATCCCAGTATTTAACAGCAGTTTTCGTTTGTTTCAGTGAGTTTCAAGTACCTCAGTCATTTTAAAACGAACGGTTCAACAAGATAGAATCCGCCATTTTGCAGCTTGATTATTTGTATTCCTGATTTTTTGGTTTGGTAAATCGACAGGGTGAGTGTGGGTTGGGAAGCTCATTAATAGCGCCCTCTGTCGATTATTCTTTAGATGGACGTTGAGTTGTCTTTATGCCTTGCGTTTTTCTTAGATATGCGTTTTGCGCAAGATTCTCATTCTCTTCAAGGTAAATTGCACCATTTTAAAATATGGAAATAAAAACCTCGTGCTTTTCGGACAAACCAGGAGCGCTTTTACCGTGGTGCCATTCTTGGAAGACACTGTTCAGTTGAAGACATTTTCTGTTCAAATTAGGAACCCAGAAGACATGAAAACAGTTGTGAGCCAGGTTTGTTCTTACTTTTCTGACATGAACTTACACTGAAAACGAACTACACAGTACTAGTATAACATCTACGCTAATGAATTCATCTTAAACATTCACATCCCTGCTGTTACTGTGTCCAATGGGCCCCTAGCGAGACCAAGTGAGGGCGCCATTTTCCTGGCAAGGGAGACTCCATTGATCGGAGCTGAACTTCGCTGGTTCACGGACGACTATGAGATGCATCCGTTGCGTGTGCGTCGCTAGCAACAAAGTGAACACTCCCAACCAGCCTGGCTCTTTTCAGCCAATCGAGGAGAGGGTGCTTCTGCTCGAGGCGGATAGCCTGTTTCGTTAATTAATCAGATCATGTCAGACGCCTGACAGCCACCACTTTAATCCTTGTTACAAGCAATCGTGTTTGACAGCAGACGACAATAGAGCTGGCAAATTCGTGAAATGCATACACCCACTTCTACGCATAACAAATGTTTCAAATATCTCTCCAAGGCACTCTAATGGATCAGGTTATGCGTTAAATAGTTCCGGACAAGACCGACATTTGTTCCGAAGTGGGTTTTTGTTTACCATCAAATTAGTGTGGGCGCTGATCCGTGTCAACAGACTTCACAGTACTAATTTGCACATGTGAAAAAAATACCGTCTATTGTAACCGAAGTGCCCACTTAGATTTGATTTGATAGTTTTGCTTAGCAACGCCAAGTGTGTAGGGAACGGTTGTCGACAACGCATTTCTTTTAGTGACCGACCCACTGATTCTATTCCAAAGAGCAATATGGACATTCCTATGACATCTTTTTCCTTTAAAAAAGATACCGTCCGTTAACTTTCTGAACAACAGGCTATTTTATCCTTGTTAATATCTCTAAAGAATCTTCCCCTCCCCAGGAAGGTGCGAGTACCGTTTATAGCGCTGGCATTTTCGGTAAAAATGGAAGTATGTTCCGGGGGGGGACTGGTCCCCTTCCCGCGGATTCGCCACTGAATACCCTGTCATGACAATGGAAATAAATTCAAGTGCGGAATGGGTTTGAGAAACGCCTGATGGTTTGAAAGGCCAATGTAATTCAAGCAGTGTACGACCCTTGAAAAATGCACCTTTATGTATCCACGGGCGTTTTTTTTCAAGTTTTGTTTCACTGTAAATGAGGGCATTTTCGCTCTTTACGTTCTTGAGTATTTCCATATTCATGAGGGAAATTGTGACGTCATCTTGGGAGGAAAACCTCGGTATTTATACATTGATTTGTGCAAGAAATTAAAGCATGGAGTATTCCATATTTCGCTGATCCGACTGTCCTTTCCTTTGGTGATCCATCTTCGTTCAAGTACATGGCAGTCAAGCAGTAAGCATATCTTTTTCAAGAATATTTCCAATGGGTTTAACAATTAAAATGGAAAAAAATTACAACATGAATAATTGTCTTTCCTGGTTGACATCAACAGTATATCCTTAGTTGTCCCAGCATTGGACGATTTAAAATGTTTTACAAAGTGCATTTTATTTCAGTACACTCAACCAAAGTAAGAGGGATATCACAGTGTTATAGGCCTACGTATAGGAGGAGTAAAGAGGAGTGTAAAAGTGCACAAAAACATGCGTTTAAAGAAGATTTTCTTCACTTTGACCCTTCGAGTAATGCTTTGTGATGTTTTATTCCATAACAGGAGCAAATCCCATAACCCTGGAAAGGGTTACAATAATTCACATAATAATAATAATAACACGGTATCGATTGTATGACATTACTAATGTTACCCTTCGAGACTTTGCCATAAAAATCTCTTTTATGCAAAAACCTTGCTCAAAATTTAGTCGGACTTGCATAGACATTAAAAAGTAAAGAAGCCGTAACGGAAACAAACAAAATCGCTGTGGTTTGGTTAACATTACTCAAGATGTACATGTGACTAACACCAACCCTGCCAAAATGTGCATTCTTCAGTTCTGAATCGGTCTGGATGCGGGAAACCAATGTTCTCTGTCCTTAAAATAAAACAAGAAAAATTACGAATTGATCTAATTCTTTACATGCGGTCAAAACAGTGCATCGTATCCATTTATTTTATGCACATTTACTTGTGTCTTATCATTATGACGGAAAACAAATATTGTTGTGGACCAGTTTTTAGCATGGACATTGAGTTCTTGCTTCTTTGGGAAAAAAATGGTGTGAAGAAGGTTTGTAGTTTGTGTACGTGTATATCACAGCATAATGGCAAGTTAGGACGTCACAGTCAGGATGTTACAAGTGCTGACGTTCAGTAATTGCCTCAGTGAAAAGGGTTACGAATATTTTCTCCACTTAGGCTGCAGTTACGGTAGTCACAGTTCATACATCTTCACTCCTGTCAATCTGCTGTAGGGCTATTAGGTGGGCAGTCGATGTCGTCGGACGTCACGCCAGCTGTTGGGATGTGAACGACTATCGAGGATGTGGTAGATGACGACCTCGGGGTAAATTCCTCACCGAGACCGCCTCGCACTTGGCGAGGGGCAAAACGTGCTGAGCGGCTCCCGTAAGAGCCGACAGGCACCGCCAATTGGGAACCGTACCCGTGGTCCGTCTTTCTGTTGTCATGTTGCGGTGGACTCTCTAGTTGTTGCAGTTTTTTCCAAATGATGAGCGGAATCCGGTGGTCCATCGCCGACGAAGCCGGTGGATACCTGGTATTCGGCGACAGGTCAGGTGTCCCCCCTTTCCCAGTCCCTGTCACGGTGCCACGGGGGCTAGTCTGGCGGGAAGGCAGGGCCACGTCCACGTGCTGCCACTTGGTAACATTAGGAGGGCTGGGGCGGTGTTGCTCAAACCTATCCCCTCGAGCTAGCCTGTTCCCCATCACAACAATGGCGCCATTCCCAGGTCTCGGGTCCAAATCTCTTTTCGGACTTCGGGCACCTGCAGTTTCAGCACTCTTGTGTTTTGCTTTTAAATCAACATCTAACATCACTGCTTGAGCGACACTACGCTGATTAACAGTTTTCAAGCCAGTGTGAGGTTGTCTGGCTGAAATGCCGTTTTTGCCGTAAGAATCAATCATGTTGTGTTCAACGAATGACGGGGGTCGGGGAACTTCAGAAAACAGTTGTATACTGGAGCGACTTCTTCGCTCCAAGGTCTGATCAGTTGTCTCCTTTGCAACCAAATCTAAAACTGGTACCTCACTTTCTTGAAGCGATTCTTCGCCGACGCGATGAAAAATGTTCGACTCCACGCGAGGAGCACTCAGGAAACCCAATTCTCCTTCACCAAGTTTCTCCGAGTTTCCCAGGGTGACTTCCTCTAAGCCTGCCGCCTGCAGAGCGGCCTCAGCTCGGCACATGGGGCACATCGAGCAGTCCGGTAACTCCTTAGTACCGTTCTCCCGACCTACGATTCTGCTTTCATCCATCGATTTCGGCAAGGCTCCATTTCTCATCACCTGGCCCTCTGAGGGAGCGTAGAACCGAAATGTGTCACCAGCCACAAGACCTGATTCGACAGTGTTACCCACTGTGCGTTGTCGACTTGTGTTGTCGACAGGCAAACGACTAAATGGCACAGACCCATTTTTACCTTCACTTCCAGTCTTCTTCAAGTTCACTTTATGTTCGATCCTCTCAATATTACGCGCAGTGATTGCACCTGATGACGGAGTAGGGTTATTCGACAACATTTTGCCCGACAAAACAGGGTCCCCGTCTTCGACAACACAAGGAAAAGACTGATCCTCATTTTTGGGAACATCTTGGATCCAATCCTTTGATCCAGACAAGCGTTCCAAGCCCGCAGCGATACCATTATCTGTCGCGTCGAGCTCAACTGAGCCGAAGGACACACTGGACAAGTCCGAGACAGACGACACGATGCGCTCATTCAAATTGTACACGCTCGTCCTCGGCAGTTCCCCGCCGAAGATCTGGTATCCAGCGACCTCCCCGATCCTGTGGTTGCGCGTGCGAGTGGTTGAGGGCCCGGCGCTTTGTGCGTGGTACCTGGAACCACTCACTCTCTCTCTCTGATTTCTCAGGAGCTGGTTAATGCCAGACTGGGAGTTGTGGAGCAATTTCTTAGCTTCTCGTCTAGTGTTATAACAGTCGTAAGCCAGAACCCGCTGGCTGTGGCTTCCAGCGGTTGCGTTATTAGTAAAATCAACCTTTTCCTGAGTTGTTGAGTGCCGGGTTTGCATTGGTTTCCATAGATCACCGATGATTATCGGTGTCGGATTTGCTCCTGAAATGTTCCTTTTGGAGGAAAGTTCCCCTCGTATTTTCCCCAGTAAGCGATTCTCAGCCGAGCCCGGTCCACGTCGCGCGGTGTGGACGTCGGCACTCCTGCTCACCGTCAGCTTCACGTCCTTTTTCTTCGGCGCGCGTCTGGGTTCCGTGGATGTTCCCCCTACTCTAGCCTCGGGTCTTTTGGAAGCATTTTCGATGAGAAACTGCGGCTTGTCCCCGGCCAGGTAGCGGTGCCTCACCTGCACCACAGGTCGTGCCGGCCGGGCACTCATGACAGCGGACACGGCACTCTACTCCATTAACACTCGCCGGAATTGGCTGCCAGATCGGCGTGATCCTTGCAAAATAACGGAACCATCAACTTTCATCACCAGTCCAACTTCAAAGAAGAATCCGCACCTTGCATCTTAAGTTCGAATGTAACTTCACATGGCCTACATGGAATCGAAACACATAGCAAACGAAGGTTAAACACCGGGGTGCTGAATGAAACATACCAAACCCAGACGTCACGACAACATGACAGATACGGCTACACCAGCAACACAATACATTTTTGTCAACGATCAACTCTAAAGTCCACAACATATGAACACATATAATAATCATTTCATGATCCATGTCATCTAATAAGTGTCATGGCGCAGTAAATGTACACACGAACGCCTATTCAACAAGTCAAACGCGTACTGATGTTGTAATTAACAGTTTCATCGAGAGATAAAAAGGCTTCGTCTATCAACCCATGCGTCTCCTAGCAACGTGTCCCTCTTCACAACATAATTCAATACCAATATTTGCAGGCTTCAGAGTGCTTAGATATGCATTTGATTGGAATCACCGTCATCAGACAGTTGTGAATGACATGCTCGGTATGAGGTTAAGATGTACGTATCTCTGTATAGGGATACATGGTCGATATTCATACATGTTTGGATATAATTGTTTGATTGACAAGTATAACATACCTCATTAGATTTCCACGGATGCTTGATCAGTTCATCGGTATGGACCGTGGTGAAGAGAAGCTATATTCGGCATCGTCACAGACGTTCGCGTTGAAGCCGGTTAATGTGTAGATGTCGGCTTTTTTTCAGTGTCTGAAGAGATGAACCAGGCTCGGTCAGCTAAAGTGTGCGAATTGGCCGGCTTCCCGTATAGGCATTTACCGTCGTGAAGACCCGTAGCTTAGCCAGTCAGCTTTACTAAGTTGAACGTGAATGGCTGACAAGCGTGGTTTCCAAGATCCCACCTGATAGCGCTGTCGAATTTCTCCATGGAGCAAAATGCTTAGGCGTATTTACCAGAGGGCTTTATCGAGAGGGTTATTTACCCCTCGCTTTTAACACGTCGGTTCAGTAGCCAAAGTTTGTTGGTTTTTAACTTGCAACCCTGGCCCGATGCTTACCGAGCTTAAACAGTATTACAGAATTCCCAGCGCGAAGCTGCATGGTTTCTGTCGTGTTTGATAAGACAAATATTGTACCTCTCTATTGTTAACCCGAGAAGTTAAACACATAACAGCAAGTGACTACTCGGAAAAGACAGGGGAAACTGTGAGCCCAAAGTGCCCCACTAAGTGGGCGGCACACACGAATGGCGACTCAGGAAAGCAAATCAGATTTATCAGCTTCACCAAACGGTCTGTGGCATTGCCCTCGGAGATTAGCCCAGGATTATTGGAGATTAAGGAAACTGTTGCTTTGACAACACTTGCTTGCTTAAACTATCAACGAAGTGATTCGAAAATAATGCTGATGGCATGTCAGTAACTTTAATCGAAACTTAGAAATGTAAGGTTCAAAACAAACGCACCAACTGAGGGGAATTAGAACATGCTGGGTAAGCCGATGTATATGCATTATGGGGCCAATTTCATAGCGCTGCTTAGGCCTAAGCGAAAAATTTGTTTAAGCGTAAAAAAAAATGCTTGACAAATCAGGTTACCAGCCAAAACTCCATGTGATGTACATGTATATTGTTTTGGGATCGTATTTAGCTGTCTTTTGGTTAGCATGACAATCATATAGAGTTTGAGCTGGTTACCTTTGTTTATTAAGCAATTTTGTTTGTGCTTAAGCAGGCCAGGCTGCTGTTAAGTGCTAAAGCAGACTTGTCGGTGTTTTCTTCGTATTTCTGTGGTCACGAAGAGCCAAATAAACAGGAGTGGAAGACGGGGCTGCAATGAAGGAAGGGGGGTGGACGCTATCGTGTAACACAAAATAGGCTTTGTTGGAATGTTGTGGCTACGACTAGATGTAAACGGGTGCTTATGGAGGAGCTGAAGCCACTTGATCGAAATAATAACGGCTTTGGGGACTTTCCCTAGAAATCTATATATATATCAACTCAAAACAGTTTTAAAATCATAGTTCACTGAATTCTAACAAAAGAAAACTTGGAAATAGACATTCATTCGGTTAACCCGGAATATGGGCGATTCACTGTAGCACGCCGCCAAGAGTTTGAAACGCGTTGACCAATCACAATGCGCGAAATCTGTCGACCCATTGCGCGTTTGGAAAGGTTCGATAGATTTCGCGCTTTGTGATTGGCCAACGCGTTACAATCTCTTGGAGGCGCACTATTGTGAATCGCCCGCATTAATTACTTGTGCAATCAAAAAAGGCCGTGTCCGAAACGGGCTTCCAGAGCTACGGCTAGGTCTATTGTCTACGCGTCTAGACCTAGCTCTAGACAAGAGATTCGGATGCAGCCAAAGATAAGGTTGTCGTTAGATGATGATCGGCAAACATTGTCAGAACTCAAGTCATAATAGCACTTGCCTCAAACAAAATTCAGCTAGAAATATGCATTTGTGATGTGAACGTCGAACAACCACTTTAAAAATCGTCCCGACTAAATTATTCCATTGAATGAAATGATCTGACATTTTTTACGAGAATGGTTGCTTAGTTTGTTTGGAGACGGTTCATTGTGGGCGCAAGAAAATACGTCCTTTTCGATGGGCAACAGCGCCCTCTCTCAACATCCACACTCACTTTTAACATGGAGAGCTTTCAAAGCATTTTCGAGGAATCGATTACATCACAGCAGGGTCGATTGGGTGCCAGGCAGGGTGCATGCGAGCACCTCTGCAGCAGGGCTTAGTGGGTGAGATGTGCAGGATTGTACGCCTCCAATCGATACGGAGGACAATAGCCCTGCCAATGCCTCGGGCACTCGAGCCTTGAATGGGGGTGATCAAGTGGCCTGCCACGGCACACAACCAATTTGCACGGACCGCTCAACAGCGCTGTTTATTATGGATACACACGGTTGGAAAGTTTTGTGGGGCAAACTGAAGTTTTTACCCTCGAGGCGCATCGTTTTATTGCATGGATCCTCGTAAACATGCCCACTTGAAACAATTCCAAACGGACGTAGATGCAAGATCTATATGGTGACTTACAGACGATCTACGGAGAGTCTCTGTTAGGGATATGTAATCTGGTTGTGAAGCGTGTGTCAGCATGACGAGGGTCACGGGGTGACCCCGCTTGGAGTGCAGTGACGTCGAACAAACAAGTACGCCATTCTGCGTTGCTAACGAAAAACCCGTGCGTTACACCGGAGGATTTCTGGAGCAGACATGGAGAGTTTCTCGGTTGTCTCTCGGCGATTGTCTCGAATCATGTAGTCGGATACCGAGGGTATAAAAATGACTGTGTGATTGATTGGAGTTATGGCTCATGCAGTGGATTCGAACTGGAGTCTTGGAGCTTCGACGGGAAGTTTAGGCTCGACCGCCAGTACTCCTCGTCTGTGCACTCATCGTGGGTTGTACCGAGGCAGTGGTGGGGCAAGTGCGGAGATCATGAGCCCGCAGCAGCCTTCGCCCTGCATGGACTCAGCTGGTGAGTCCCCGACCACCAGTTGGTCCCCGAAGGAAAGAGACCGACATAACCAAAACGTTGTGGTGGCCCACATCCGGCTCCGGCCAGAGATCAAGGCAGATCTGCCGTCCGCAGTGCCGAGCAGCGCCCGTGAGCCTTCGCAGGGATACTCGGCGTCCCATCACCACCACCGCGATCCGGCCAACCACCGCTCCGTGAACGAAGAGCTGGACAAGTACATGGTGATCCGGCAGCGGAGCTTCCACGGCTACGCCAGGAGCAAGCAGGACCTGAGGCAGCTCCCCCAGACCGATCCCCGGGAGGAGATGGACGCCGTCCCGAGCTGGCTGCACCGCTCCAAGACTGACATCTACATCGAGAGGCGGCGGGCCAAGCTGGCCACCCAGAGGGCCCGTAGGCGCGGGGGATCAGGCGGCTATAACCTGGACGGTATCACTCTAGGTAGCCTGGTGGACCAACTCCCGGTCCCAGGAAAACGAGACCACAACGGGAACGCCAAGCTGGAGTCGAGAAACTCCAATCTCAGCCCCGGTGAGAGTCCGGGTGAAACGCGGTTCCCTCCGCTGACTTTGAACCGCATGAAACAGATGATACAAAACGACATCCAGATGTATTCCTTGGAGAGCCAGTCCGTCGATCGCCGCCGGCCCTCCACCACTAACGCCTTGCCTACCTCGTCCACCACCTTCCCCGTGCCGGACCCTCCTCCGAACTCCCCGCCTCCCCCAGCCCAGGAGACCACGGGACACAAGCGGGGCCGGTTACGGAAGCAACCCCTCGGGTCCATCCCGCTGAGGATATGGGAGCCGAGTTTAGACTACGTACTCAGGAGCAGTGCTAAGGAATTACAGCCCCGGCAGGCTTTGTCTTCTTTGGCACACCAGGCAGCCGTGCGCCAACAACCATCCCCCCTGAAATAAACCCCTTATAATACAAGTAGAAGGTTTGCATGGCTGCCATCTTGCAGGCCAGTGCATTTATTCCACAGGGTGTTCCCCAAGGTTTCCCTGTGGAACAAAAGAACTGCCCTGCAAGATGGCTACGACGCAAAGCCTGTATACCACGTAAAATACCAATTCAGAAAGTATAATGTGTTAATGGTTGTAGTCATATCCTCACAAGTCCCTCACAAGTCATGGACAAGTCATTCACTTCAAAAGTTATTCAAATGAAATGACAAAGTTGTGATTGACTTTTGATGGACGTGACTAAAATACTAGTTGATTTAACCTTTCTTTACAATTTAACTATTAGTGCATCAGGGAAATGGGAGCATGAAACAGGTGGATTTAAACAGGGAGAGAGCAAGACAGGGAGCGATTTTTTTGCCTGTGTAAGTTTCCTTTTCTTCTTTTCCAATCCATCGCATTTCAGGCTGAACTTTCTGGCCTCTCCCGCCATGTTTGTACGGAAAATAAGGACAAGCATGGGGCATTATGTGAAGTGTGACTAAAATCACAAGTGTTGATTTCATAATAGATTGAAGGATCCTCTCCTTCAACAACTAAAGTATTAAAGTATTGTGATCCTGCTTTGGAACATTTGTATATTTTACGATTTAATTCAAAAATGATACGGGTATTTTTAAGCACGTCCCTTCCTAAGTTTAAACGTGGACATATTTCTCTAATGGCACTGCTGAACCATGTTGTTCGACCGTGCTTGAGTTAGACTTGTGAAGTCATGCAGTTAGTTCAAAAGCTACAATCCTGAATCGTGCATGTTTTTGAACATAATCATTACAGTTTGAACAAACTGGCCAAAGACAATTGATATAAATTGTCAAATTACCAAGTTCGAACTATTTGTTTTGGCCACAAAAGTGACGGTTAACACGAAGCTTGTTTCCACTCATGTCTTCGTTGGATGTTACAGCTCGAAGCAGTCTCCTTTCTCACTGTAAAGCCCAGGCTAATTCTTTTGCCCAAGTTTTCAGCTCGTAAATGCCTTTCATTCAGTGAAGTCCGCTACTAGCCTCGATCTCGCTGATATTGTTGACGGGCTCTGAATGAACTTTGCCCCGTTAGAGACCTCCTCTCAGCCACGAGACCAAACATGCAACAAACCGTCATTTAAATATCCGTAAGCTAGTACAAAACATCCGAAAAGAAATCCAAGGCGCCCTAACGTCAGACAAACCTCTGCTAAATTTACGTGTGGTTTGAAACCCTGACATTCGTATCTCACTTCAAAGCTCCAGGGCCAATTAACCCGTCAATTGTCCCTTTTGTCAAAACTGACATTCAAATATTTGGTCACCTATCATTTGGACAGCGATTGCCTATTTAATTATCTGCGATTAAACCTTGGTGCGTACGGTTTCATAAACGCAGAATCTGGGCTACCGTCTGTAACATTTTGGACTTTGTCCCCTGGGCACTGGTCTATATTCCGGATTGTTTTGCGTAAATAAATTTATGTTAGAGGTACACAAGTATGTTTCTGGCTTGTTTGTCAGGAAAGCTTTGATACTTGAAACGAGGTTAACTTTTGATAATCTATGTTGGCAAGTTGAATTCAAAACTTCATTGAAATTTAATGTCCATACATGCATATGCTTTCGGCGGATCGCCATGGCTAGTGGGAATACTCATTCAAAGTTCGGCACCGCAACTTGCAATTTACAGCCAACTGAGGTTGTAAATGAATGTGTAGACGTAGGATCTGTACAAAGAAGATTGAACCAGTGGCGTAGCTAGGATTTTACTTGGGGGGGGGCAAAGGGGCACCAGCATCTTATGGGGGACACCAGCTTTCAGTAGTGTGGTTTTGGAGCAAGTTTTTGTTAGCCTTGTTCAATATCCATTCCTTCTTTTTCAGGGGGGGGCACCTGGGGGCACTGGGAATTTGTGGGGGGGGGGCTTGCCCCCAGGCCTCCTGTGAGTACGTCACTGGAACGGCCCAAAAAAGAAAAGACAAGCTGCTATTTTTGTGGAATAATTATGATGTTCAAGGAGCTGGGTTTTCAGTTGTCAGAATGAAAATACCCGAGGATGAAATCATACGTAGAGCAAAACATTACGATTAGGCGAAGTGGTTCTATCAAGATGCGTTAAAAAAACAGAAATAAAAACCCTGACAAAACAGTGTATTCCATTCCTTGCTAGAATGACCAAAAACACGACTAGTCACCTTGACGAGTACTCATTTTTCCTCGCGAAATGGTTCAAGGGTCGGGCTGAAAGTCAGCAGACTACTTGTGCCTTGTTATGGCGACGAAAATCTCGATATGATACATGTATAGTGTCATGTATCAAAAGATTTTGACATTGGGTGCAGTGACCAAAAACTTGGGTGTTACATTGGTGGTTATTTAACTCCCTGGTGTTATCAGAGGACTGTTGTTGTGGTTTGATAATACCCAGGGTGTTAAATTAACACCACAGCTTTTACAGTGGAGTCGTGTATCGTTTACCATGCATGCGTTATTCCCCAGACAAAAATTTTCAGTCTGCGAGAAAAATTTGAAGTATGTAATTATGTAGAAAATACTGAAATGTGTTTTGACTGCTACTTTTCTCCCGAGGCTGCTCATAAGGTAGGTCTGTGTTGTAGAAAATGTCAGGTGCAATTCCGTGTATTAACCTATGTGTGTGATGATCTTTTTGCATACATGTATTGTCATAGCAGCCTTTACAACATAACACCCGCATTTACCGATATGCCCGAATTCCGTCCATTACTTTGTTCCTTTATCGGAAATGAAACTGTGTATTACGTAACCGCTGTCTCGCAGATATAAATGTTATATTAATTGATGTAAAATGCATCCCTTTTTTTACAAGAAAACATTGGACACAGGGGTCAAGAGAATATTGATAAAGTGTACCCCAGCTTCTTTCACTACTTGCTTCCAACAACATTTCATTTGCTCAACATGCTCAGGCGGAGTAGGTTATCTTTCCACTTTTTACATGAATACAGAACTGTATGGAAAATGTAAAAGGTGTTATGCCCCATTTTGTTGTGTGCTTTTATTTTTTTTACAGATTTACCCCATATAGTGGGTACTTTTTTTTTTCTTGATAGTTCGTTGTTTTATTTACGTGTGTTTTGTGACCTGGCGTAATGTTACAAATTGAATTGTAGACTCTATTTTTTAAGAGTGGTTTTGATTGGAGAAAACGACTGAGCATTTTGAAGGGATTTTCTGTGTAGTTCCCTTATATTTTTGAAAATGTATTCTGGTTTGCATGAACAAACTTATTTTACCGTCCAGTTTAAAGCCAAATGAAGTATGCGTATATTTACAATGTAAAATGTATGTCAGATATTCACCAAATGTTTAGTGTCATTAATTATGCGTTTAAATTTGTTTATATCTTACTATTGTAATTTATTGTGGAGTTATATACAAAACTTGCCATTGGTCACAAGTTTTGATAAAATGTAATCGATGAGAAAAGGTTACCTTGTTTGAAGTTACCTTAACGTCTCCTTGGGTTGTTCATTTGTTTCCATGCAGGCTGTGTCAAATTAGAAAACATCCATTTTAACCGTATACCAGGAATGAAAGTTTGTTCCATTGTAACATACATAAACAGATATATGCAACCGATTTTGTCGCCCATTGACGATTTGTTCCCATACAAAGTGATTTTAAAAACTCCTTATTTGAGAATATGGAGATTAACTCCATAGTTTTTGAAATATGTTTCAGAATATTTTGTTTGAGAAAACTCCAGTGCCAATCTTTCGCACTATGACAATCTATACGGTAGCGTGATTGTGTTTTCTATAGACAAAAAATCAAACGTGTAAACGTTATACAAAGCCATAAAATAAGTCTATGGATAGTACATGTACACGTCCACTTTCTGTAGGTGCATGTAATTAAATTATATACACATGTACGTGTACATGTATTTGTATAGATGCTCTGTACATGTACATTTTCACCGACACGTGCACAGTATAGATGTTCATGTACAGTGTACATATACGCAGGCGTGGCAGGTGGTTGAATGAATGGCGTGTCCATGGGAACGCTGCCAATATCCCACAGCTATTTGACACGGGTCATCAAGCCTCTTTAGCCTGCGTAATGATTCAAGTTCTTCTCACCCACTATCAGCTGTTTACAAGAAATATGACAGGGCTTTGTTGTTCCCTGTCCACATTCGCCAACGCGTAACTGTGAATTGAGAGCCTACACAAATGGTTCGCTCCTGATTTATTCTTGTAAAGCCCTCTTTCAGTGAAGCTTGTTCCTCGTCAAATATTTACAGAGCTCCTCAATCTTTCATGTGCAAGAGGTGGGCCGTGATAGCTTCCACAGAGCCGGGATGATGTTTCAAGGTCGTCCCCGCTAGCACCTGGGCCGCGGCCGAGTAGGGTGTAAACACAACTCGGCAGTCATTGATTTTTATGCGTTTTCTCTCGAACACCCTAGCTTAAGAGATGCTGTTTTCGTTGATATCGATGCAATTACCAAACATAAGTTTTTGTATTTCTGTGGATTCGTGTACTCATCTACATGCATCGTGTGTGTACTTCCTGGGATCTCGACCAAATTTCCCCCCTCGTCCACCATTCCTTCCCCAGTTTGAGATTCCTCAAAAGGAAAAGTAAAGGTTGAAATAAAAGAGTAGATAATAACATGGAAACATTTCACAGCAACCTTTCTTCTTGATGTCAAATAAGAATTGACTGAACTATGGCAGTGGAAATTTGGCGGTAAAACGTTCCCCACTAAAGTGAACACACAGGCCCAATACCGTAGTGACAAGCATTTTACCGGTAGCCTTTGCTCCCCATGCGACACCCCTGAGTAGACCTTTTGTGGTATCTCTCCATATCAAAAGCAGTCACCGGAAAGACGGTTGTCATGCGCAACCTCTTTGACCTCACGTTCTTCCTACACCTTTTATTGTGTAATGGGTGAAACCAATCCGCTTCCAGCGCCCTAATTCAATACGTGGCCGGCAGTTTTAGTGCGCGAAATGAGTACGCACAGGGGCGGATCCAAACCCACATTGGGGGGGGGGGACAAAACCTGGATCCTATTTTGGCGGGCAGGCATGGCCACCGTCGCCACAGGCAGCGCCGTTCGCCATTGAGCGCGCACTATGCAGCAGTCCAGACAGGCTACAGCTTTGTAACATCCCTGCAGACATAATATGACTAAATATATGCTGTAGAAAAGCTTAGGATTTGGACTTTTTAATAGCAGTGTTTATTTGTTATTTCTAGGTGTCCCTCGTTAACTTGTGACAAGAAGTCCCGCCGCTGGACAGTATCGCGCGAAAAGGCGCCCCGGTTGCCCCCTTCCAATTTGCCGCCGACGTGTTTAGGCTTCGTTGGCCTTGTAATCGGCTAAGCTTAGGAGAAACCCACCAAGTGCGGGTCGCCCAGCCTATAACAGTGCCTTCCACATTCTGTTTGCAAACAAAACCCTCTTACGGGGATCCGGGACTTGCGAAAGGTTATAATCTCATATTACAGGTTTTAGTGTCAGATATGTTTCAGAGTGCGCCCTCTATCACACTTATCAATAATGTTCGTGCGAGTTTACGGTAGCTTCGACCCTCAAGCTCGAGCGATGGGCGCACGGCAAGACGCAGCAGAACAACAACAGAATAACACACCCCTCAAGAGCAGAGAGGCACGATATAATCCCCAAACCCACTGACAAGATAAAATTCAGATCGCGTGTCCCAAAAGTAACCAGCAAATTTCTGGAGCCCCAGCATTTGCCTTTTTTTAAATGTTCCTTTCCCCAGACATTCAGCCTCACGTACCAGAGAGACTAGGCCTACACAAAGAAATCATCCATTTTTTTCCATCCCCTAAAGTTCTGTTTCTGCCCTTGGTTCGACCGGTAAGAGTTGGAGTGGCAGTCTCCGTCCCAGGAGAGGAACTGCTGAGGCTCTCATACAAGATTCTGCCACAGGAGCAGTTTTTTTGGGTACTTTTGGAAGCAACGTTCGTTCCTAGCTGATTCTATGAGATTCGTCATTACATGAGAACTAATGACCCACATTATCCTCTTTTTCTGATCATTAAAATTCACAGCCATGTACCTGCACAATCCTCATGCATCCTCTCGGTGACACTGCAATATTTGTACCGTATACTGTAAATTGTTTACGCAGTGATGTTTAAAGATCGACTTTACACTTGGAGGAAATTAAGCTCAAATGACACCTGCTAAAAGCCTCCTTGTAGACTTTGCTGGTCAACAGATTTCCAATTATCGGTTTTTTATTTTTGCCTGGTGCAGTTTCCGGCAAGCTGATTTGCACCCACCCGCTTTGACGAGCCGCAGTCTCGCCTTCAAATCGCCGACTCACCTGCCGTTTTTCTCACTTGATTGCGCCCAGGTGCGTACTCGAGGAAAAAAGACGGGAGAATCTGGCCTTGTGTGAAATCAATTCGCCCTTACGATTGATTAATAATTTTTGGCAGCGATCATTCAGTAAAATCATAGAAAACTAGAATCTTTAAAATACATCCTTGGTTTCGGTTTGCCTTCATGGTGTTACTGTTGGTCAAAGGGTGTTTGATGATTTTTTTGGGGGGGTTGGCTGATTTGAATTCTACATTCACGAGCAAAACAATGATGTTTTTCAATCTCAACGGCATGCAAGCATCCTCCGATCTGCACACTTTCGATAAGGCAGGGTTTATACAAAATATGGCTTTAAGCCCCTGTTTTAATTATGGTTAGTGTAAGTCAGAAGTAAGTCCCATGTCAGAAATTGCAACAAATTATAGTCGTATTAACCGTGTAATTCTGCTTCAAGGACAAGACTTAGTATTCAACCCATCATTCCCAACCAATGCATGCAACTATGAAGACATATTCAGTACTTCATTACAATTTTTTCTGCAATAAGCCATTGATTTTTTTCAGCACAGCACATAGTTTGAATGAACTGAAATATTGACAAGAATAAAGGAATCCCTGCATAGACCGCGTCTATTTGATTCAACGCGGGAAAAAAGATCGAAGGAACACGCTGTACCCAACAGAGCTTTTGTTGTTCTTCTTGACGAGTTTTTAATCAGATTCGAGGCAGAAATATTGAAATGAATGATATCGCAGTCCACTCTAATAACCTTTTCCACTTAACAAGATTGGCATACATGATGGACGTCGATTTGTACACATAATTATCCGAGTGTCGGCACAAAGAGGACAAAGTTGTCGAGGACCAGGACATTGTCCGACGCTGCGACAACTGTTGTTCTCGGATTGTAACTGTTATCGATCTCACTCCTTGACTGTCCTGCAATCGATAAGCTCGGGACAACACGTTGGAGGCTAAACATCGACCAGGTCCCAAGCGGGCGGGCTCTGCGGCGTATCCTTAGCTACCACGGCCCTCGAGACCGAGATAGTATTAGAGCAGGTTTTGGACGCTGGCACATTGTGGGAGAAGTCGGCTACCAAAGTGTTGGGCATTGTTGTTTGTTAGACGATTGGCGTAAAAGAAAGTCATTCTTCGTGAAGTCATGTGAAACTGTTGATCACGGTTTGGGGAAGAATTGTCCAAGGGTGTTGGCAATCCGTACCAAAGATGGACAAAATAACAGCTGAATCGCAGCCAAGACAGTAGCACGAAGGGTGTCTTTCTTATTTCAAATACTGCATTGGTTTATTCCAATTCCCATCGTAAAAAATAAAGGCAGGGCAAAAGGAATCAACAAAATTAAGGCCGGAAAAGAAACGAGGCAAGAAAACAACGCAAGAATACTGAATTTCGAGGAAATTAATTCCGGAGACAAAATACAGTGCATAAGCTTGACAAAGGTCCTCATTGGTCTAACATTAACTAGAAGATCTTTGTTCTTCAGAGTTAGATGTCAAGATGTTTGTATGCGTATATCTATTAAAATTGTAAACCATTGTCCATTATTTGTAAGCTAAAACGGTGCATAATTATTCCTTTAGGATTGCATTGTTGATTGCCATATTTAATGTAAAATCACACTGAAAGTTTTTGATGATATAAAAAGCCGTTCGCCGATGATTCATATAAATGAAATATTGTACCAGCTAAAATGTTCACATCAAGTGTAACCTTTTCAACTATCCACTTAATACTGTCATTCTCAATAACCTTACAGTCAATCTGTGGATACCTCTATGACATTTTTTCCATTCTTTCGTGTACGGGCACGCTTTATACGTACACCTTAATTACTTTCGTGTGCCTATGACTGGATATTTCTATTTATACATCTACACCATACAAAGAATTGTGTCCTGTATCGTGTACGTAATGGGCGACAACTATTGTGTATTAAAGGTCTCATACGGTGCACGCAGAACACAGTATCGTGTACGTAAAGTTTGTTCTAAAGTTCTAAGTTGCCAAGTTGAGAAATTGCGACAGCGCCAGAAGATTTGAGGCGTACGTGTAGGCGGCCGAAGACCAGAAGGGGAACATGCTCTTGTTGTAGCCCTGGAACTTGGTGGGCGTCCGGTGCCCAAAGTGCGGCTCCTTGGCCATCTTATCGTACTGGTCCTCAGACACCACACCAGACATGGCCAGCACCAGACTTTCGTCGATGGTCACGTGGGTGTCGTTCAGTGGGATCTTGGTGCCGTTGATGTACTCCATGAAATTGACGGGATAGTAGAAAGGCAGTGTCTGCAGAGCCAGAGAATTGTATTACGGCGTAATCGTTATTCTTAAGGACTAAGGGTGAAAACCCCTGCTTCAGCACCGATTAGCCTTACATTGACGATTTTATTTACTTAGTAATGTGGTAATTTTCTCGTTTAATTGCAGTTTTTTATAGATCGAAAAATCCGTGCTATTCATTACAAATAAACACATTCATATAAAGGGCTTTTTCACGAACATATCGTCGTCGTGCTGTGTACATGTACTCATTGGGAATTCAATTATGCAATAGAGTTTGTAAAGGTGTGATACTTGTTGCAAAACTGTCGAAGATGGCGTAAGACCCCCAATTTCCAAGATGGTCGTTAGTCTGTCTAAGGATATTAACGGTCATTATTTTGCACGTGAAGTGTTGTCATCTTTGGATCAAAGGAAATGAACAATGCATATAGCATCTCTGGAGCTCGGTATACCCGCTAACTTACACTGGTGCCCTTTACCGAACCAGAGAAGAACGCATTGAGGGGTTTGTATTCGTCACGCAGGACAAACTCGTTCAGCCACGACACTGCTTGCTGGACCACGTGCATCACGCCAACTGGAGTCTCTGTGGAAGACAAGGCTACAGCTGGTGCGTGAACTAGTTTTAAAGGCGTCAGCTCTCGTAAAGCATTAGAGGGTTTGCATGGTAGCCATCTTGCAGGGCAGTTCTTTTGATCCACAGGGACACCTTTGTGCATACCCTGCGGAACAAAAGCACGGACCTGCAAGATGGCACCCACGCAAACCCTCTGTTGCAGCACCCGGCATTAAGTGAGCCTGATGGACTAATGCAGCCAACCAGCAAACAGGCAGTCAGCTTCATCCGAACTGTCCTGTCCAGTGAATTAGAGTAGGGCGTATGTTTCTGTTTCCCTGGTTCTACTCAGCATATTTTTCTCCTCTGCGTATACCAACAGGTAGTACTCTGTCTCGTTTTCATCGTGGGGGGAAAATGTATGCATATTAATACCATAATGAGAAGCCAGCTTGCCGTAATGCTATATAGCTAGACTTAACCAACCATCTAACGAACGTATTGAAGAGATGTAAATACCCCATCTTTAAAATTTCGTCTCCTTGTGTAAAGTAAAACGAAGCAGTTTGTAGTCGCACTGGAAAAGACGACCGGGGATAGAGACCATACGTCTAAGCAACGATTGGCAACAAACCTTTTTCCCATGAGAGCCGTCTTGTCGCTTTGTCTTGAGTTGTCCACGTGGCAATCAGTGCATTCACAGCCATGGATGTAGTAAAGAGGCGATCTTCGGCGTTGTTCTGGTAACGAAAAGATAAAATAAAAAATGCGTTACAGGTTATTTGTGTTCGCATATCAAGACATATCCAGTATTCTACACCGAGTTCCGTTCCAGCGTCAAGCAACGATCCATTGTGGGATCGCGCACAAAATAATGGCCATCAGAATTGGACGGTTCAATGTCATTTGTCTCATGCACTGCATGCTCTATGCATGTCTTACGTATTTGTGCACATTCCGTTGAAAACAGATGATGAGTTTCGACCCATAGGCTCTCTGCTAAATGGCTGAATCATTTGATTGGCCCATGTTTTGATGGAAGCGGAGTAGTTTTCCCCCCATTTTGGTTCCTCAAACTCGCACGATATGCCATGATATATTGTAGCCAACGTCAAAAGGGGTTGTGGCTTTTCATAATAGAAGCGGATCAGACAACAGAATTTCACCTGTTGTCCCTTCAACATGTCCAGAAATAAATTCTCGGTACGGATTTAAAAGTCTAGCGTTTACTGCGCATACGTCCCAGGGAAACAGAAACACAGTTAAACTGTGGCCCCATGCGATTGGCTGAAAATCAGAAGATCTCAGAGGCTGAGCTGGCGTCAAGCGGGAGAGATGGACAGCGTTCCAAGTCCAAAACGTTGCGTTTCAAGCCCCCCCCCATGGCAAAAGTTACGAGCATCCACAGGTACCTTCGGCTTTCCTGTCCAAGTTTCGTCAGCTCCACCCAGGAAGTCGTCGAAGTAGGCCCACTTCCCTCCTTCCGTCTTGGCTTCTGCCAGTATGTCGCTGGTCACTCGCGACTGAAGGGCTCTATTTAAATGCTCATACACGAACCTTAATGCAGGAAAAATAGTTAAGGGTTTAGATTTTGGTCGTCGACTTGTGGTATGGTGCTTAAGAGCCCGAGCAATGTAATTTTAATTATCCTTCTTCAAACACTCTTAAATGTTTACGTTTACCCAATTTATAATTTTTACTCGAAGGATATTGAGGTACTTTTTAGATTTTAACCTGATGCAAATTTTCGTTTTTATGAAGAGATGTGACGCAGAAATCTAAGCCGGTTCGGGCGATACCATAACTTCGAAAGGGGACGCAAGATCGAGGCAAGATGCAAGTTGCCTGATTTTGCTGGTTTGATTATGAAAAACAATTATCATTAGTTATGAATGATTGCCAACGCCCTCCCCCGACAGCAATGGTAGTGTGTACATCGCTGAGTGGAGACTTGTGCCAGGAAGCCATACCGCGACGAAGACAACTTTGAATTATTTCAAAGATGGAACCGGCTAGCCGACACCGGCAAACTCGGTGGTCGAGTGGTTACGACGTCTGCATTAGTGAGCAGGAGGTCATGGGTTCGAGTCCCACCTGAGTATACGTTTGTGGGTTTTTTTCACAAGCCCTCGGGGGTACACACTGAGTACACAGTGTTGAAGTACATGTCAGGCAGGGCAAAAGTCCAAAATCAATTTGCCAGATTACCTGAGTGACGGGAACGGTGGTAAGGCTCGGCCGGCAAGGCGGTTGGCTATGAGGAACCTGGTGCGAGCCACGAACCAGTAGAAGTTGTAGCGGGATGGGTAGTAAGTCAGCGCCAGGTCGGGCCGGCTGGTCACAGTTCCACTGTCGATAACCCACTCAATAAAACTAGTCGTATTCTCGTACACCATCTAAAATTGATCATTTGAAAACGAGGAATATTTAGTGAAACCTACACGCTACGGCTTTTGTCATTTAAAAGGTCTGATCATGTAGGTTGTAGTCAAAGGAAAGTGTGATGTAACTGGTCTTGTAAATATAACTTCAAACATCGTCCTTAATGTAAAAATGGACTGTAAAATCATGTTAATTGTGGTAATTTTTATTACTTGTAAAGAATTCAACAATATCCAGGTTTTGCACACTGTAATTTCCTTGTGTTATGGTTGCAAATAAATAAAATTTAATCGAATTTAAAAAAATGACTGTGTGTATATGTACTGAAATAGACTTCTTTTGTTTTGAGTTTCTTAAAGGCGCCTTCCCATTCGCGTCAAAACTTGTGCCAAGCGGGGCGTATCCGTCAAAATCACCCCCGGGTCGATTTTGACGGCCGAACGCAACGCACATGTGTTTTATGAGAATGGACTCGATTTTTGTGTCTGTGAAAGTGAAACGCACGGATGCATCGTGTACGCAACGCACCCAAAACCGTACATATGGAAATGCGCCTTAACACGGCTTTTCTTCGCTGATGAGGAATTGGTGTTGCACTATTGAGAATACACGTATGAGAAACGACGGGCTTTTTCAGCACCAAAAAATAAATAAAAATAAATCCATCTACACTGCTTCTAATCTAACCATAGTGTCGTTGTCAAACCAGGTTCCAGGCTCGAACATGTCCTCCAGCAAGGCGGCAGTGACGCCGTAGACGACATTCGCGGCCACCGTAGAATCCACATTGTTCATGTTGAACGGCATGCTGACACCCCGTCAAACCGCACGCGCTGCTCCGTCAAGTTTTGGATCTGCCGCCAAAAATTGATAGGGCAAGAAGACTTTGTTGAATTTTTTGCGAGCACTGGTTATTGGTAAATAGCTTTACCCGTTAGTCCATACATGACGTTTTCACTGATGTCACCAAGGTGCAACATCGCCCTGGCCCCGAGTCCGTCTTACCAACCTGCTGACTTTACTTCGTATGGCAGACTCAGGCTAAGTCTAGGTATTCACTCCATTTGAAATACGCAGAGATGCACAGTTAATGACCTTGTCGTAGTTCTGGAAGCCTGTTTCGGACACAGCCTTAAAGTAATCCACATAAATAAAATGAACAAGCACAACTTTCACGTCTCACCCATGTTGTCGCCAAGGATACCGGCTTCCCTTCCTCCTCCGCCTTCTCAAGAAACCCCCGCGCGAAGTAGTAAGTCCGGGGATCGATCAGGTTGGCCAAGCTTGCCGACAGAGGGCGGTATGCATATGTCTTGAGCAGCTGGAAGACGGTGTTTGCCTCGGTGTTGCCGGACTCCCACAGCTGGTAGAGGGAGGGCGAGCGGGAGCCGAGCTGCTTCAGGAGACACCCGAGACCAATGTTAACGAAGGTGTCGTCAAAATCTGCCGGAATCTTGAAGGCGGGAAGAAGCTGGTGTCTGAGAAGTCAAACATCATGAATGGTGCATTTGAAACAAAGTATGGAGCCAGAATTTCGGCTAGTCAAATTTAAATTTTCCAAACTATGCTATTGCAGTGGCATACCATCTTCGATTCTTATGGCTGCCTGAAATTCACTGGGTGATCATGAGAGTACATACCAGGTACAATACGGCTGTTTCTCAATAGTGCGCCACCAAGAGTTTGCAACACGTTCGCCAATCATAACGCGCAAACTTTGTCGACCCTTTCCAAACGCATATTGGATCGACAAATTTCACTCATTGTAATAAGCCAACGCGTTGCAAACTCTTGGTGGCGCACTTTTGTGAAACGGAAGTATTGAAGTGTGGTAGAGGGACAGTTATAGAGTCTTCCCTGAGATGTTTCTCGCAAATAGAGGTTTTAATTGAAATTCATATTTCAAATTTGTAACCTCCGCTTTCATTCATTGTATTGGCATTCTAACTGCTTTGAAGCTGTTTTGAGTTGTATGTCGCGGCAAAGTTCCATGCGGACAATATTTACATCATCTTTATCTTAGAAACTTCAAACCACACCGTTACAATTTTGGTTTCTAGGTGTTTTGATTATTGAAGTGAGGCCTCTTTTTGCGAATGTGTATTTTAATTCAACCCAGACTTGCATGATATTTTTGTTAACTTTTAAACCGTCGCCAAACTGCGTAACGTTCGGCTCGGTCAACGATTTCTGTGCAACAGAAGTCATATTTGACTTGGTGTGATCACAGCGTATCCGTACTTGGCGCCTTTGAGGAAGTCCAGCAATTCGCAAACTTCAGTAAATGATGGGCCGAGCTTCTTGCATATCTCCTCCATCAAGTCCCAGGGTAAAGCGTCATCCATGAGGGTGATGATGGAAAGGATGTTGGTCGGTTGACTCATCCAAAGTCCGCTGGACTGGTTGAAGGCCTGTGCAGAGGAAAAATGCGAGATCATCATTCAGAGTGACACTGGAAATCGGTTTTGTCAAAATAGACACTGCTCACTCGTAGATGAGTGTGCAGTGGGGGCGTGGGGTTAAGTTTGCCGGAAATGGGGGGGGGGAGGATGACATGAAAAGTGTGAAAGGGGAGAGGACACAATTATGACTCTGTATAGAGGTCGATGTTCATGATATTAATGTACATCAGTAAAGTATGTATTCAAAATGGTATATTTGCGGCTCTTAAAATATTGCTCTTTTTGAGTGATATTGAATACATTTTAGTTTTTAGAAGTCTGAAAAATTCTTCACAATCCACCTTATTTTTGACTCACCATGGAAAAGTGGGGGATGAAACCCCATAGTGGTTCGTGAACCGCGAAGTGGAGTTCCTACTACTAGAGCCGCCATTACTAAAAAAAAAAGTCACGCCTCTCTTGGTCCTGCGCGGGGCTCAATGAACTGAAGTACAGTCATGCACCGCAACACAGGGATTTCTTATCCCTATGTTCTGTTTAGTCAGTACATGTAGTTTTAGTAGTCCGTACGTACGATTGAGTAGTCTATAGTACGACTTAGTGATTCGTACGTACAAAATACTAAGGCGTAAGTACGAAACAGTAATTCGTATACATCCGAATTTTTCTTAGCATGTCCTAAATACACTTCCGTACATCTGGGTACTAATCAGTACTCGGTACGCACTGCTAAGTCATCCGTACGTACGGTTTGGTATCCGTACGTACTGTTAAGTAATACTAATAACGAAATTTTGTTGAAAAACCAGAAAAGGACTCTGAGGCAAGGGAGGGGACTTGAAGTTCCAGTAAAAAATAGACTCACTGATGAAATCCCGCATAACTTTCAACAGTATGCTTAGGGACTGTGAAAACGCGGGCAAGCATGGGGATTGTGGTCGCATCGTAAAGGAATCCCCATTCCACGTTTCGTATGACAGTGGAAGGGGTATATAACGCAGGAAGCATTCACAGTCAGGTACTAAATGACAATTTTCTGTCGTGAACAGCAATCAGTAGATAGTAAACCAGGCCCACTGTCCCAGCGACTACCGTTCCCAGCCCCACAAAGAAAACGTTCCAGTCAAGCTGGTGACATTATGTTCTACGGTTTCACTGATTCAGAACTGATATTTGTTCATTATGTACCTGCGACCAGAAGTCGACTGCCCCTGTTCCCGGCGGACGGTTTTTGTCGTGATGCGAGTTCAGGAGCTCCAGGGCCATCTTCATCTGTTCGTCAACGGGCGTCGGGGCGCCCGTCCCGTATCGCCCCGCCTCCAGCAGGCAGATCGTCACCCAGGCGGTGGCGAAGGCGTTGTTGTCGAAAACGCCGACCCGCCGGAAATCAGCCAGCAGGGGCTTGCCGTACGTGTTGATCCGGATATTGCTTTCGTAGACACCCCGGTCTTTGGCCCAGATTAGCGGCGGGATATAGTGGCGGCTGTGCTGAACCTGAAGATCGGCGATTCGTCGGTTCAGTCCCTTTATTGTGCCGGTGATGTCAGGGTCCCCGGAAGAGGCAACATACATGCTTTCAAAATGACTGAAAGTCAGTGAAACTATAATTAAACACAGTGCAATCTGGGTTAATCGAAACATGTTTGTTTTGCTTTCACACAACTTAATGATCACAGATATCTGTATCCTTCAGCTATGAATAATGTATTGAAATGGGTTTGTGTTTAGGGTACAAATGCCACAATATTTCACAATAACAGCCTTCTATGAACTTCGTGAACCGAGCAAAGTCCGTCCATTATGACATGTGACTATCTATTCATACGAACCGGCAGTCAAAGAGCCCTTGAAACTCCCCGGTCGGGGTCAGTATTGGTTCTATTCAAATGCGCTGGACTGTTAAAAAGGTGGTGGGACCTATACACACATTTGCTCGTCCCTGCCGCGAAGGCGGGGAATCCTCAGCGAATTCACTACGTACGCCAATTCGCAGTCATCTCCTTCAGGAGTTACAATCTGTAAAACAGAAGAGGGGACCAGACCCAAGAATGGCTTCCTCATAAATAATGGTCCATTATTTGTGGCTGGCTTGAGTAAAGTCATTGTCACTGAATATGTTGAGATGGTTGTAGCAAATTTAATTTGCAGTATGGTGACTGGTCGCATTTTGTCTACCATATCAAAAGGGTGGTGTCTCCCAGAGTGTCGAATGAGGAAGTCTGCAGTTTTATTCCTGTCCCACTTCCTGTTTAACTTCTATTATAAAAGACGCTGAGTTCGTAAATACGCCTTAATTAAGCCAAGACAATGAATTTGAGAGGAGGTACCATCAAGAAGCAGGATGTCGTGCGTTACATGGATCTCGTCTGGACGAAGGATGGGATGGCAGTAGCCGAGTGGACCGAAACCGCTGGCTCAGAAACACCAGCCAAATACAAGCTGAGCCATCGGCACCGAAGGATTCTTTGCTTGTATGAGAATAAAAATGATGGACACGGACATCTGTACGGTATGTACAGATGTCAGCTTATGCGAGATCGGACAGTCCGTAGTACCTCAAATCCTCAAGACCTGACGGTAAAACAACCACCTTTAAGTGAGTATTCAGAATGTTCCGTACGGCCCGTCCGGGACGGCAGAGCACTCATCTGCGACTCGGAGAAGGGTAGACCATCGGTCAGTCTTCAGTGGTTCAAAGATGGACAACCTCTCGAGCAGTTCACGCCCAGTGACAACTTAGGGGACTTTGTCCAGGCGCGCTTGCTGGTAGCAGAGGACGACGAGTCCAGTAGAGGAAAGTTTGAGTGCTCCCTGACATTCAGAGGAGAGGTTACCGGCTCCTGCTTCCTGGGTCGGTCTAACGCTACAATTTCGAGCATCACGATCACATTAAGCATTGGACAAGATTAGTCGTCTGTGTCACCTCTGGAAATCCCCCAGTGTCCTCCGTTGTCTTGGACTTCAAAACCTAGTCTCCGTTCGTCCTTCAGAGAAGATGGACACGTGCTCATGATCTCTAACATCAGCTCCAGCGACAACGGCACTCGGATAATTTGTGAAGGGCATAATGCACTTGGCAGCAATCAGGCAAGTAGAGTGATAACTCTGCGACCACTTGAAGCCACAGTGCAGCCGAAAACAATGCAACTTGAACAAACCAAAGTGCCAGCCTCGGTGGGTGAGGTAGTCGAATTCACATGCACCACAAGGCCAACTCGGTCACCTCTTCCTCCCTGCGCCTGGCACTACCGGCAGATCCCTTCTTCTGACAGGACCGCTCAGAACACGTGTAGTCGGTTTTATTAGTGTCAACCGCTGACATGGGCGGTTTGGTTACGTGCCGCATCGTGGTCAGTGTCCAGCCGAGACAACTATCAGGGCGGATTTCCCACTGACCACTGAGGCTTTGAGGGTACCAATGATCCGAACACCACCCGCCCCGTTCACGTCAAAGCTGGACGATTCGTCAAACTCCTGGAATTTTGACATCAGGTCACGGTTTGGGTACATCATCGGAGGTCTGATGTGCTTGGTCTTGATCGGGATTTGTTGCTGGGTCTCTCTCAAGGCGAAATCTCTCCTGTGTGGCAAGCGAGGCACCCAGATCGACAAGGACAATGGGACGGCCAAGGCGTCCTGCATCCGCCTCGAAGACAACAATTTCACGGTAGGCCTTGACACGTCTTCTGCGGGGATCGTGAATAACGCCTTAACCGTTCCCTCTTCGCGGTTGACCAAGCAGGCCTTACTGGAGCAAGAGTCGCCCTATCAGGATCTGGAGGATGTGTCTCGTCAACGACAAGAAAACGACTACCAGCGACTCATCAGTAACGTCTGGTTGCCGCCTCCAGTGTCGTCTTACACTTAGTGTGAACAAACTTGTAGCCGGACTGTAGAATGACACTTAGTTACAAACTGCACACTTAGTTCTTGTCACCTAACTGAAATTGACGCTGTAAGAAAAGGCCACAAAAGGGGACCGAACGAACACAAAGCTGAACATTTTGACTTGCTGAATATTTCGTTGCCACCGTTGGAAAAAATCCTGTTGGAGTTGTTTGCGTCCTCATGGAAAGCCTCCAGTCGTAAAGAAATATCTCTAAACGATTGGAAATGAAACTCGTGGCTCTACAAATGTCGAATTAAAACACTCTCCAAAACGATGGTCTAAAACAGGTATCGGCATACATTATAAGCACGCAAAAAGGCGCATATAAGTTTCGCGTCATGTGTCCTAACAGTTGGCTTGTAATGTGTATCACGGCAAAAATCGCAGTTATGCTGAGCATGTTTAGTATTGATGAATAGTGTTGACTTGAACTTTTCCTTTAAGGAATTGGATGCGTGATGTTTCATGTCTACAATTGCTACAAGTGGATAACAAGATTTGAAGTTGCTAAACACAGTTTTCGCGTGATATTCTTTGAGTAGATGCATATGTGTTGTTTGGATGTTTACAATGTTGTCATTATGCTTCAGCCTATAGCTTGAATTGGATTTAAGGTTGTACAGTTAAAAAGGAATCTGAAACAAGGTTGAAATGTTTAATCAAAACCACATGTACAGCTGACCTGTCTTAAAACAATAAACCAAAGATCAAACCGTGGTCAGTTACATTTGGTGAAACAGAACCACCGGCTAATAAATAAGACGTAAAGGTGTAGTTATTGCATAAACAGTGGCACCAACAAGAAACAAATGACCCTGTTTCCAACAACAGGCGGGATTGAAAACATACTTCGGAAATAATGTTCCAGTGTTAAGTTAAAATAACTGTTAAGCTTGTGCTGTATCCAGAATGTATCAGTCATTGATATTTTT